GGGCGGGGCCTGAGGGGCTAGGGCGTGAAGCGGGTGGGGGGAGACGTAGGAAGACTGGGCGGGCAGGGAGCCGAAGGCCAGAAGCTGGCCTGGGGAAATTTGGCCCGAGGCTCTAGGATTGGGGGGAAGTAGCAGAAATCTGGGAGTCTGAAAAAGGCGGGAGACAGGTCAAGACGGAGCTGAGGTCAGGCAGGAGCTGCTGTGCACGAGGGTCCTGTCCCGGTGGGGGTATGGCTGCAATAGAACAGAGGACTGAAAGGAGAAAAAGGGTATTTGAGGGGGGGAAATTCGAGGGGCCCGGAAGTTTGCTATAAAAGGCTGGAGGGAAAAATGTAGGCCTACAGGGAAGATCTGGGAGAGGAAACGGTGGAGTGAAAAGTGCTGCCTGAGGCACTGTGTAGGATGAGAAGTGTAGGAAACTTGGGAAGCAAGGCCGAGAAAGAAGAGATTCACTGCATAAAAGTCCTAAGAAAAATGCCACAGAGAAATCCAGGGCAGATGGCCAGATGGGAGCTACAAACTTGGGAAACGCTGCCGATTTGAAGTCCTCCCTGTACCTCCTCACAAAGAGCCATCCCCAATTTATTTTTAAGAATTATTTTATTTAACCTTATTTACTTATTTTAATTTGACCAGAGAGGGACAGAGTGAGAGAGAGAGGAAAAGTGAGAAAATAAGCTGCCAGGTCCAGGATTCAAACCGCTTTGGCCATGTGGGAGTCCAGCGCCCTTCACCACTACTGGCCCCAACAATTAATTTCTTATCCTATGTCTGCTAGAGTTAAAGATTCTCTTTTAAAATTTTTTTAATTTGATTTCATTTTCTTTAAATTTTTTATTTTATTTTTTAAGAGAGGTTTTTGCTGTAGAGTGCATGTACTCACCAGAAAGACAGAGATAGAAAGCGAGAAATCTCCCCCCTACTCCGTTCTCCTCTCAGGACCTTGTGCACACATGCCCCACATGAGTTTAATCCACCTGGTCCAGGATTAGAACCTCAGTCGACTATGTGGGAGTCCAGCAACACAATCATTACGCCATCTGCTAGTCCCTTGATTCATATTTTTTAGGTTTTTGCCATAGGGTGCATGCACTAGTGGGAGAGAAAGAAAGAGGGGGAAAGTGAGAAATCACACTCCCGAACTCCACCCCATGACCACATGCAACCTACCATCCCTTCTTTCTCCTCTAGGTATTTTGGGCATGCACACACACGCACCTGGCGTGATTTTCAGACCACTGGGTCCAGACTCAAACTATGGTTGGCCATGTGGAAGTCCACTTAACCACTACACCACCTGCTAGCCCCAATTTTCATTTGATTTCTATGCTTTTGTTTCGTTTTGTTTTGCAGAGAGGTTTTTGCTATTGGGCACGAGAGAAACAGAGAGAGAGAAAGTGAGAAATCACCCCCCTCCCCAGAGCGGAGGGCCATGCTGCAATCCCTTCTCTTCTGTTCTCCTGTTGGGATTTTGGGAATGCATGCACACACGCCCAGCATGAATTTTTATCTGCCAGGTCTGGGACTCGAACCATGGTCGACTTCATGAGAGTCCAGCGACGACATAACCATTATGCCATCTGCTGATCCCTTGATCTCTATGCTTTTAAAAAATATTTTATTGTGATTGGTTCTGTCTGTGAACAATGGGTTTTTTGATTTTGCCATAGGGCATGCGTGCTTGCTAGAGAGAGGGAAAGTGAGAAATCACCTCTAGGGGGATGGCCTCCCTGCAGTCCGCAGACCCTCCTCCATTTTCCTCAGGGAGTTTTGGGCCTGCATGCAAACACACTCAGCATGATTTTTTTTCTTTCTTTTTTTTTTTTTTTGGAGAGGGGAGGGTTTTGTTATAGGGAGCATGCACTCACCAGAAAGACAGAGAGAGACAGAAAGCAAGAAATCACCTCCCAGGGGGGATGGCCATGCCACAATCCTTTCTCCTCCATTCTCCTCTTGGTATTTTGGGCATGCACATACACACACACCTGGCGTGATTTTCAGGCCACTGGGTCCAGATCCGGCGTGAGTTTAAGCCACCGGGTCTGAGACTTGAACCGCGGTTCACTACATGGGAGTCCAGCGACATAGCCATTTTGCCAGCTGCTGGTCCCCCACCACCACTTTTTTTTTTTTTTCTCAGCATGATTTTCAAGCCACAGAGTCCAGTACTCAAATCTCAGTCTGCCATGTGGGAGTCCAGCACCTTAACCACTATGCCACTTGCTGGTCCCAATAATGGAATGTGTAATAGAACATGGGCTTTAGGGTAAAAGATGTTTAGGAAATAAGGTACCCCATTCCACTCTCCAAAAATTTTCTAACTGCTTCCAAGATCTGATGCATTACCAACCACTTTGTGTTAAGTTTTACATACCTTCTTTCATCTTACCTCCTTCTCTCATAAGCAAAACTGCTATTGTGACTCTTAGGGACCCTCATGTACATGTCTGGTAACTCCTGCTTGCCCAGCTCCCCAGCCTGAGCCCTCAAAGCCTCAGAGGCGGGCTTGCTGTGTTCTTACTTGCTCACATATGAGCTTCAGCTCTCCCATCCTCATGGCCAATCAGATAACCATTGAAGCCTGGCCAGCTCCCCTTAGTGGCATTTGCTCCCTTAGCCTGGCCGTGCATGTTTATATCCTTAGGAAGCATGAAAACAGGTGTCTAACTACCTAGAATATTTCCACTGAGGATAACTCAGATTCCGGGAAGGTCAGAAAAAAGGCCAAATCAGATAGTTTTTTATTGTTTTATTTATTTATTTTTTTTTTTTGGAGAGGTTTTCGCTATAGGGCGTGTGCACTCACCAGACAGAGAGAGACATAGAGACAGAAAGTGAGAAATCACTCCCCAGGGGGGATGGCCACACCGCAATCCCTTCTCCATTCTCCTCTCAGGATCTTGGGCACGTACGCACACACGCCCAGAGTGAGTTTTAAGCCACCGGGTCTGGGATGCAAACCGCTGTCGACTACGTGGGGGTCCAGCGACATAGCCATTACGCTAACTGCTGGTTCCCGAATTCAGACAGTTTTTTTGAAAGCGTAACATCTTCTTTGGTAGGGATGTATGAAATGCCCAGCTGGTAATCCCTTACTCCCTCATGAACCTGCCAGCAAGTCAGTGACTCTTGCTCTGTGGTGAGAGATCTCAGCTTTCCCCACTAACAGTGTAAAGCCAGAGACTCCGGACAGCCCTGCAGATCATGAGAACAGTCAGATGAGTGGCTCCTGAGATAAAAATAAAGTCTTAAAAGAAGAAATAGCCTTACCATTGGGAAGCAGAAGAGGTTTCACTGGAGCTTCTGAGGATGGGACTCAGGGTAGAGGGAGCTGCCCTCATTTTGGCAGCTTCAGAATTGTGCCCAGCCCTAGCCAATAGATGTTGATGTCTCGAACACAGAATATAATGTCTTTGTTACCCACTGAGGGCAGTTAGTTCATTTGTAGTTTCTGGACAACCCCTTTCCTTTCAGTAGGTTAAGGGTAAGGCATATTTCAGGACTTCGCTCAGAAATAAATCCTAATTTTTTTTTTTCTAATTGAAATACAACTAAAAGTTTCTTCATTTCCTCTTAGTTTGAAATCTACAGCTGTACTTCTCAGCATGGGAGAAACTTACTTCATCTTTTACCCTACCTCCCACCAATATCCACAAAGAATTATTTTCTCTGAAACTGGCATTCGCTCTCCCTTGCTCTGTCTCTCTCTCTTTCTGTCTCTCTCTTTCAGACACATGCACACATAATAGCCAAGAA